CGACTATATATATAAACAAAATTACTTGATAGAACAACGAAAGTTTCTTTTTACATATTGCGCATAAATATGTTGTCAAACTATTGTGACATATTTTGGTGCATCAAATCTTCAAAACCCCCGACTTTTTTTTATCTATTTTGATTCTCTAGTGTTATGTAAGTTTCATTTCTGCAAATCACACGACCTTTCCTTACAATCATTTTTCCGTAAATGTGAGTTATATTTTTGTTGGATCAAACATATATCATCCCACCAATTTCATAAAATTGAAATGAGAAACTGCTTTTTTTTTTCTTTAAGAATTGAGGATTTAAACTGAGGATCAAAGATAAACCCTTTAGATTTTCATCGATAGTGAACTAAGAAATTTCTCTCAAATCCAACCAACTGAGGATGATCTCGGGGAGAATTCGACCATTTTGAATGAATTTGAACATTTTAATCTGATAACTAACAAACAAATGCAATCTGTCTCTCCAATGGTTACTTCTCAAGTCAAAAGATTGAGTCGACTCATCTGAAAGAAACGGGATGACTAAGTTTACAACCATAACGAGTTAACCTTCAAGAATAATATAAAAGACGATGCGATTCAATCATATAACAATACTGTTTTTCTGAATAAAATAATTCATTAAGACAAACACCGAAAAAAAAGCAATCTCGCGCAAGAGCTACAACTCAAAACACAAAAAATTGATATGATTAAGAAAAGCTTACACCTTAATGGCATACTTTCTTATTGGATAGTACATTTCTTTATTCTTCTCCCTTTCCGTCTTCAGAGATGCCTGTTCGAATCAACCAACAACAACTCATTTCAGTATAATAAACACACTATTAGTTCTATTTCTCAATACCAATTTGAAACTACTAAAAACAATACCGTAGAAATCTCAAGATATGTACAGTAACAATTGTACTTCTTTTCGTTTAAAAGGCTTTGTTTTTTAAGGTTACTCTCGAAAAGAGTTTTGGAGAAGACAAAATTGTAGACAGAGTGGAGTTACCTGATGCTTGGTGAGCATCCTCCTGATAGCTCTAGTCTTCTTGGGACGAAGATCGAGAGGCAAAAACTTCTTGTTCTTGTATGCCTCTCTCAAAGCAGAATTTTGTTTCTGTTAGATCACTGTCAACACCTGAGCGATCGACTTCCTCACCACCTTGCTGAAAATCAACACAAACAAAACCCATTTAAGATCAATCCGATTAAAATTATGGATCCAGCACATGTAAAACTAAACCAAGTGAGAGCTACAATATGAATGCAATTAGACATACCAAGAGCTTTATAAAGCTAATATGTACCACAAACTACAAAACAAGAGCAGAAGAAAAACTAAGTACAGTGAGAAACCCTAAACCTGCTAAACCTAGTTAACACTGATTAAACTACTAACCACTAGCTAAATCATAAACAAGAGTAAAGAGTATAGATTGCAAAATTATTCATCATTCTTGACATATAAATCACTCAACCAAACCGGAATTATGCAATCAAATCGAAGAAAATCAATGGAACGTGTATTATATTCAGAGATGTGTTAACAAACACATACATCTTGGAGAGTTTATTGGGAGCACCACCGGTGACTTTAGCGACGCGAGGAAGAGCAAGCTCTGCCTTATTATCCTTCAAGTAAGTCGAAAGATCAGCTTTTGATCCCTCTCTAAGCTCATGAACCTTGGTTCTCGCTGTTCATATTCCATTTCACAATACAAAAGAAAACAAAATCTCATCAAAAGGGTAACGAAGAAATTAGATGCTTAAAGTCGAAAACTTTCAGAATTTTAGGCTTACCCATTGCGTCTTCGAGTTCTTTGGCTTCCCTGAGAGACTCTTTGTGGTTTTAATAAGAGATTTGAAAC